GCAATAGGTGCATTGAACAGCCTGGGTCTGTTCTACCAAAGCTGCGGAATGTGTTGTGTGGGGACGTGGGTGGTCAGAAAGGGCTGGCCAGCAGGCCTTTGGGTTGACACCCTTCACCAGAAAGGCAAGCACTTGTGATCTCCAGCACTCACCCCCGCCTGTGCAGCACGGCAGCCCCAAGGGTCCTTCCATCAGCACCCTCTTGCCTCCTGCCGGGTGGCATCCCAACAGCCAGCCTGGTTCCATCCTGGGCATGCCTTGGGCAGCACGCCCTCGCCCCATGGCCCTTCCCCGGGGACTCCTGGATGCTCTTTCTCCCTGGTTGCTGTTCAGCCCAGCACCTTGGCTTCTCCCCAGGGAGGATATGATGGGTGTGCCCACAACAAGTCTCCAGCAGAGACAATAGGACAGGAATGTATTCGCTTCCGAACAAACACTGTGTGGGCTCGCACAATTGCCTTGGATTCTCGTCCAAGAAACACATCTCGCTATGTGAGGGCGAGGGTGGCTTGCGTGCCCCAGCCCGCCTACATCCCTGTCTGTACCAGAGACTGCGATCAGGCTCACCTCTCCCCCCACCCCAGCCCTTCAGCCCAAAGGGTGGGCAGGCTTGGTCCTACAACGGTGTCACGGGAGAGGGACAATCCTGCCCTCCCAAAAGGTACCTACTCTGGCCACTGTCTTTTAACCATTTTTTTAAATTATGGGAAAATACACAGAAAATAAAATGTATCCTTTGAGCAGTTTTTAGGTGTACACTTCTGTGACGTTACATCCACTCACATTGGTGTACGGCCATCCCCACCATCCATCTCCAGAATGTCTTCAACTTCTCCAGTCCAAGCACTAACTCCTCATCCCTCACCTCTGCCCCTGCTAACCACCATCTGCTTTCTGTCTATGAATGTGACTTCGTATTCTAAGTTCCTTGTCAAACTAAAATCATACAGTAGTTGCCTTTTTGTGCCTATCTTCTTGAAGGTTCATTCATGTGGTAGCCTATGTCAGAACTGCCTTCCTTTTTAAGGCTGTGTAATGTTTCATTATACACATTGTACACGTGGACCAATTGTTTATCCATGCACCCATTGGAGGACACTTGGGTTACTCCACCTCTTGGTTACTGTCAATCATGCAGCTATGAGCGTAAGTACACAAACACTATCCATTCAAGTAGCCACTGCTTTTTGATATTCTTCTTTGAGTTAGACAATGCAGTTGTCTCCTGAAGATCCTGAATAGTGCATTCATAAATGAGATAGCTACTTGGCCTCCTCAACATAGCAGCAGGGATCACTTACCCAAAAACTTCACTTACCCAAAAACTATCTGTCCCATAGGAAAACAGCCCTGAAGATGTGAGATACAGAACAGGAATTGGGGTCCAGGGTGGAAGAATGGAAATGTTCTGCACTTGGGATGATGAGGGCAGGTCAAGTGGGGAGTCCTGAAAAGCCTCAGACTGAGGAACCCTGGCACCGAGTGGGGTTAGGGCAGGGAGCCCCTGTGGAGGTATGTTGGGCTTGGGGGTGGGCAGTCTCCTGTTACACACAAAGAACAGCAGGCCTGGGGCCAGTGAAGTTCCCTCAGGGGTCAGAGGTGGAGGCTGAAGGTGCCACCCTCCCCTGTCCCTCCAGCTGCAAGGGCCTGAGAGTCACTCACAAATCTGGCATAGAAAGGCTAAGTCTGCATTTGTAGAGAGGACAGGATACAGTCTGTGGCCACCAATCCCTTCACATACTCTCTGCATTCCAGCAACTGTGAAGGAAAAGGGAAATGCAAAGCTCTCAGCCCTCCATGGCTTTCTTGAGAAAGCCCAGCAAGCCATGTGCAGGGGGCTGGCCACACAATGTGATTTTTGGCTGCCCACAGAGTTTCCCAAACAACCAAGCAAGAGATAAGGTTGGAGGGGAGAACCCGCCCACAGCCCTGCTAGAGAGTCCTAGTCAGTCTGTCCCCTGCCTTGGCGCTCAGGGACCCTGGGCCCTGCCAAGGAGGAAGCAGAGCTGTGGAGAGTGTGGGCCTGCAGAGGGCACATGATCCAGACACACAGAGCGAAGAAGACAAGGGGAAAGAGAGGAAGAGTACAGACCTGCAGAGGAGCCCTGGTCCCATGGCACAGGGGCACTAAGGGCAGGAGGGGCCCTTGGGCGATAGCCAGAAAAAGGAAGGGACCCTGGTTCATGAGGTACCATGCTCTGTTGACAACACCAGGAGGCTTTGCAAGGTTCTCCCTGCAGTGTCAACCAGGTCTGAAGGGCCACGGTCCCTGGGGACAGACAACCACATTTTGCAGCAGCAATTCCTTGTCTTGGGTCTTTGAAGAATTTCTCATTTTGTTATCTCAATTGTCCCTAAATCTCAGAATTTGGCAGCCCCTGAGAGAGTCACTAGGGGTCCTACAAAGCTGGACAAAGGACAGAACAGGGCCCAGGAGCATCCGATCTGCCATGAGAAACTTGGATTGGGCAGCCACTGTGTGTACCAGGCAGCACCCAGGTGCATCCTGAGCCCACCCCTCCACCTTCCACCAGCTCTCCCTTTTCTTCCTGACCCAGATGCCACCACCCACTCTGTCTCAGGAGTTCCTCCCTGAGATGAAAAGCTTCCCCCTTTCTTGTGATTTCCACTAGCAACTTTTATTTTAAGGATTTTCTCCTGCTAAGCACCAGGGGAAACATCTGAGAGAAGTTTATCATGGCAGGGAGTTCCAGAAGATTGCACAGGGCTCTCCTTGCACACATCCCCATCTTCCCTGTAGACCAAGCGGCATCCAGTCCAACTTTCCCTCCGACTCCATGTCATACAATCACAGGTCCCTTGAATCCTTGGGACCTGCCCCAGAGTGTACTGGGTTGGATGCTGGCCCAGGTGGCATGGGGAAGTCTGCTGCAAGATGAGCCCTTCCCCAACTATTTCCACAACCTGCCTTCTGGTCCCCTCTCTGGCCTCCTGAGTCCTCCAGGTGAGAGAGACTCTTCCCTATGCAGCCCACAGGCACTGGCTTGGTAGAAAGCCCCCCTTGGCACTCCTTAAGGATCTGCAGTCTTGGAACAAGAAAACTCCAAAAGCACACACGTGTACAGGAGGGTACAGCTGTGTGCTACAGCTTAGTTCATCGTGCAGACATGTCAGGTGGACCTGCAAAGTACTTTCTATCTTTTGTTCTAACGACAGTACCTGTGTCGTGTGGCATGTATGTGGGTACATGGGCAGGAGTAATTTCTAGAAGTAACATTGCTGGGTCAGAGGGTGTGTCCCCTTGCTGTGTTAATAATTACCACCAAGTTGCCATCTGTAGAGTTGCCCCTCACCCTCTCCAGTACTGGGGATTGAATCCAGGGCCTTCTCACTGAACTACATCCTTAGCCCCTTTTTTGTATTTTTAATTTTAAGACAAAGTCTGGCTAAGTTGCTAAGTTGCGCAAGCTGGGCCTGAACTTGCAATCCTCCTGCCTCAGCCTCCCAGAGTGCTGGGATTATAGGTCTGCGCTACCACACCCATCTGGGTTGTACCACTTTACCACCTTGTATCTCCACATGCACATATGTTTGCAGAAGCATTGATTATAATTTTGTTCCATGTCTCCTCTGGCAAGAGGTGTGGGGCGGGGGCACCTACACTTCCTTCCCTATCATCTTTCCAAGGCTGTGAGCACCACAGTGCCTCGCAGACCCACTGCCTCTTGGCGTGGGCCTTTTCTTTCCCACTTACAGCTCTGCCAACTGGGCCAAGTTATCTCCCTGCCTCCCAAATATGTTAGCCAATATTCTCCAGGGGCTTTCTAGGTACCAGGTGCTGTACCCAATCCCAAGGATAGCAGTCCACAAGATGGAGGCCCCGCCCTCAAGAAGTTTCCCTTCTTCTGGAGGGAGGCAGACAACAGGCAAACAGGTAGGCAGTGTGTCAGGGGTGAACGAGGGTATCAGTCCCACACAGACAGCTCAGGGCAGGCCGCTCTGATGAGGTATCCTCAGCCAAAGCTCTGCACAGAGTAAGGTGAGGTCGGTAGCTACGGACTGGCTGAGAATTCCTGGGGACAAGAATGCAGAATCCCTGAGTGGCAAATTTGATACATGCTGCACCGAGGAAGAACTCTGCATACATTGAGTAAAGCTAATCACTGAAGACCACACATTGTCTGATTCCATTGACAGAACATGTTCAACATAGGCAAATCCACAGAGACGGGAAGGAGACTGGGTGTTGCCAGGGGCCAGAGTGAACCAGGAATGGGGAACAGCTACTAGCGGGTTTCTTTTAGAGGAGATGAAAATGTTCTGAAATTCAGAGATGGTAATGTTTGCCTAACTCTAGATATCCTAAAACCCACTGGATTATACACTTTAAAATGGTGAATTTTATGTTATGATACCTGAGTTTTATGAATTATATCTCAATTTAGAAAGAAATAGAATGTGCCAGGCAGGTAGAGGGAACTCTGCTTGGGAGTGTGGGCGGGCCAAGTGCTAAGCAGCCTGGCCGTGGCCCTGGTTAGGAAGGACACTGGTCTCTGGGTAAATCCACGCTGCCTTGGTTTTGAAAGATTGAAGCACTGGGTCATGGGAGAAGAATGCTTGCTTTTACTGGACATCCTCCCATGGCCGAGACCAGGGCTGCTGGCTCAGTGGCTAAACTCCTTCACACACAGGGTCACCAAGTGGACATCCTTAAACTCATTGCATTCAGCACACTTGCCACCACCTTCAGACTCCCCACAGCCCTTCTCTGTGCGGGCCTCTACTCATATCGTCCTGACCCACCCAAGACTCAATACTGTATGGTCACAGTGTCCTCCAGCTGCCCAAAGCCAGCAGAAAAGTCACCGCTTCCGAGTGCACTTTCCATTCTGCCTTCTGACCTTCATGAGCTCTCGCTCCAGCCTGTCCCTCAGCCTGTTGTCACAGGACAAACATCAGGACTGGTTCTAGAGTGACCAGAGCAGGGAAAGACAGCCCGGCCACCCTAATTGATTTCCTCTCTGCCATTTTCTTCACAGCTTCTGCAGTCTCAGGATGTGAAGGAAGATGCTGTCCTTTGCTGCTCTATGGAGGTAAGCAGGGAGCTCGGGTATGCCAACCTCAGACCCATGCATCCCTCACACCTCACAGTTGGAGGAGCATCCACAGACCCAGGGGAAATGTTTGTTGAGTGAGGCTGGTGAGAGGTGACTTCTTGAGTGGTCATGGATTGCTGCACCCAGAGCCACCCACCCTAAACCAGATAAGTGCTGATGATGAGCACCAACATGGAAAGTGCTACCTCCATTCCCAAGGTGTAGCCACTGTTCACTGACATTCCTCCTCCAGGAGCTTCCTTTAGAGCCTGGTTCTGGCCGGTCCCTGGAACATATCTTTGCCCTCTGCAAACAGCTCAGAATAGCTCAGAGTGGAGCACAGGGAAGAGGGGGCAACCAGCATGGGGCCCCAGCCTGGCAACACTAATGAGCATGCCATGTAGGTGGCTCTGCCCAGGATGCAAAGGAAGAGCTCAGAGAATAGAAATGTCAGGAGCCTGGATGGCAGCCTTGGGTCTGTGAGATGGCCACTTATTTCATTTGTTGGACTCCAGTGGTACAACATGGTGCTTGAGGAAATGAGGGCTAGAGGAGAAGGCATAGCCCCTACCCTCAGACAGCTGCAAGGCTGGCTAGGGGCAGGTCCCACATGCACACTGGCTGGTCCCACGCACATCCTTGTGAAGTCAGAGGAGAGAGGTCAAGGTGGGCGCAGGAGGTCGAGGAAGGCTTTGTGAAGAAGGCAGATTTGAAGTCAGGGTCGGGGGGGACACAGCTAGAGGTAAGACAAGAGGGACCAAGGGACTGCTGGCGGCCAGTTGTTCACTGGTCCAGGAAAATTGGAGCTTCTTCCTCTAAGGGGTTTTTCAAGATTATGAGGTCTCTCAAGATCATCCAGCTGGCCTTCTGCCCCAGTTTATACTTCCCTCTTCTCCTTGTTGTAAGCCTGGGCAGAGGTTGGTTTGGGGGCTGGAGAGAAAGGGAGAGAGAAATAGACCTCATTCTGCTCTCAGGTTCCAACCCATACAGGTAATACTGACTAAGCTCATTTCCAGAGAGACCCCCAGCAAGGGGAAATTAACACAGAGCCACCTGATCACCCAAGGGAACGGGTCACCTTGAGGATGTGAATGTATTCAGGGAAGGCTCCCTGTAGGAGGGGAGGTTCTTGGGTGAAAGGGACAAAGGGTATTTTCCTCATGAGGCCTCTTTGGGGCCTAGGCAGTGGGCAATATTCTGACTCCTTTCATTCCTGCTGGTAGATGTTTATTCAATGTGGGACTGCACAGCATGTTGCAAGCACAATACAGCTGTTTCTTGTCCCTGCCCCCAGCCCACCTAATGAAAGTGGTCAGGTAGCATTGTGATCCCCAAGTTATGTCCTAATTAGAGCCCACTTCTCTGCCTGCAGCTACAGAGCACAGGGCGACTGCTGGAAGAGCAGCTGCCCGAGATGATGACAGAGCTTCTAGCCAGTGCTCGAGATAAGATGCTGTGCCCCACAGAGTCCATGCTGACCCGGTCTCTGCTCCTGGAGGTCATCGAGCTCCATGCCAACAGCTGGAACCCACTGACACCCCCCATCACGCAGTACTACAACAGAACCATCCAGAAACTGACAGCCTGACAGCCAGGGGGCCTGGCGGGCGGCCCATGGGCAGCTGAGGCCCTGGTGCACAGGGCCAGATGGACAGGCGGGAGGACAGGGGTGGCCCTGGTGGGAGAAAGAAATGGGGAGGAAGGCAAGCAGAGTCGGTGGCCAGTCTGGAGCCAGCCAGGAAAGTGATCAAATCCCTCAGAAGAGCCCCCCTAGGCATAAACACCCCCACCTGAGCCTGAGCATGCGGCAGCTCCTACCAACAAGGGAAGCATGTTTCTTTTCCATGGTGGCCCTGGCCCTAGACCTCCCTCACTCCCACCCCTCTCCACCCCCTGCCATCCAACTCCTCCACCTCAAGCAGAGATCTCATCTCTGCTGCTCCTCAGAGGCCCCTGCCCCCCTGCAGCCCTGAACACCAGCCTCCCACACCGGGGCACTGCTTGGGTCAGAAAAGACCTCAGAAGGCTGAAAAAGTGGGTCGAGACGGGCTCCCATTGTTTCCTTCGTGCTGTCAGCCGCAGTCGCCAACTGGCAGCAGGCGACATGTAGCAGATGTCCGGGAGGACAAAGGCAGGCACGGTCCCCACCAGCCGCCAGTAATTGACGGCCTTTGTCAGCCACAGTGGAGCTAGGGAGAGGCGCTTTGCTCTGCTCTTCACACCCCACCCTCCCAAGCTCAGTTCCTCCAGCCTTGCCCCCCCACACCCCGCCCAGGCCTAGGAGGCTGGCAGCCGGGAGGGGAGCTGGAGCTTGCAGCTCAGTTTGCACCCTTTTCTTTTGTTGTGTTTTATTTTTCAAAAGTCGGTTGCTTTGAAGTCTCTTCTCTCAATGAAAATACCCTCGATGTGATCACATAGTCAGCCCTGCAAGGACGCCCTGATTAATGGAAGATCAAACCTGGCCTCCTCTGGAAAGATTCTAGCCATAGACAGCTTGCCAGTAGCCAATTAGGGTAATTGGAAACTTCTGCCCCCGCGGGGGTCCCCTGCTGGAATTCTGTGTTCCTCCCCCCTGGCCTGCAGCGACTCTGCTCTCCAGTTTCTGTCTCTCAAAGGATCTGGTACTTCGGCTGCTGGACTGTATTAGACCTGGTCCTGGCCATGGGGGTCTTGTGGCAAACAGGGCCCAGAACAAGTTTGGTAAACTAAAACCAAAGTGAAAGTCTTGTCCCAAGCTCCTAGTGGGGAGAAGGATTCGGTGGGAGCTGCCTGGCTCCCCGGGATTTGTCTAAGTTATTGGGCTGTGTCATTGCCTGAGCCTTATCCTAGACAGGATCCAGAAGCCTGCCCCTTCCAGCTATTGGGAAAGGGAGAAATCATTGAGTCATAAGAAAGACAGTCAGGTGGGCCCCCTGATGGAGCTTTCCAGGCTGGAAACAAGGCTGGGGATTCTTGGAAGGCCCTGTCTTGGGGAGCAGCCTCTTCTATGAGGGCTAGAGAGGAAGGTGGGGTCAAGCTCTGGGATGCTAGCATCAGGATCATGACCAGTGTCCACACAGTCCATGTCTGAAGTGTGGAGCCCATGCTTTGATGAGCCCCCATGAAATGCCATCAGAACCCAGCAGCTTCCTGATTTGCTCCTTTATTGAGGTTGGTCATACCCTAGGTCACATTGGAAACCTTTTATGGCCTCCTGATCCAAATCAGACTGGCTGGGAGGTAAAGGGTGGGTAAGGTTTCTGCTGATTGTTTCTGGGTCTAGGAAGAAGTTCTCCATTCAAGCCTGATTTGCCCCCACTGAAACTGGCCTTCTAGTGCTAGGATGGGGGCCTGTGCCAGTCCCCCCCAAAAAGCCTACTTGGGATGAGGTATGGGGCCACAGTTTCCCTTTAAATAGGTCAGTGGCCTCTGCCAAGAAGCCCACACTGGCCCCTGGCTCCTGCCTTCCTCCCCTGCTCCTCCTTCCCAGGCTTTCTCAAGATGCTCCTTAGCTACTCGCCTGCACCAGCCCTTAGCCCCAGCCTGGAGCCCAGGGACACCAGAAACCCCACAGGAGGCCTTGAAGGAAGAGTGGGGCTGATATCAGGATGCTCAGAGAGGGCACTAGGGAAATCATGCTCTCATGGAGTCAGGCAGCCCTGGCCAGGCAGCTGCTCCCGTCAGCCTCAGAGGGCCACACCTATGCTTATAAGGGCCCCCTTCCTTCAGGGGTGTGTGTGTGTGTGTGTGTGTGTGTGTGTGTGTGTGTAAGCATTTTGTGTGCATCAGCAAAGAACAAAGCAGGGTTCCCAGAAGACAGAGGTCTGAAAGTTGGGTCTCCTAGACCTCTTGGGCTCGCAGGCAAGCTCCATGAAGGGGACTCTCAAAGGTTGTGTGGAGGGGCTAGTGTCTTGTGTGGAGGGGCTAGTGTCCCGTGTGGAAGCAAGAGGCAATTGACACTGTGGGCACTGAGGGTCAGATGTGCCTCCCTCCTGATGGCCTGTTTGTTGGGGGTCTTGCCTCAGGGCCAGCCCCTGTTTGGCCATAAAGACTAGTGTGAAGACATGAGATATAAATATGTATTATATATAAATATATTTTTAATTATGTGTTGTGTCACGGTGGCTCCAGACGTACAGTTTGCCTAATTTGTTCCATTGCTTGAAAGCACTTCCTGGCCCATCTGAATAACACTTTTGGCTGTTTTTCTAAATGCAGGTTGCTGCTACTTTTTCAGACAAGGAAGGAAAACATTTTTTTTTTTTTTTTTTTTAAAGAAACACAGCAAAGCCTAAAATTTAAGAGTCTAGGGCAACTTCCCATGGGAGACATCTCAGACAGGAACCAGGGGGCAGAAGTAGGCGCCCCGAAGACCCCTGCCCCTTCCCTGTGCCAGAGCCCCCTCTGCTGCAAAAGAAAGACCAGCTGGATGTTGTGTCCCACTTGGTGGCAGGCCTTGGAGCATGGAAGAGGCAGCCTGCAGGCATCTCACGTCGGTCCTCGGCCCCTTCCTGTCAGGATGAGTTAGTTTTCCTCTCCAGCAGCCCCCTTGCCATAGTCCTGCTCCCCACGGCCTGGTGGCTTTGCCTGAGCTCTGGTGCCCCAGTCCCAGAAGGGCTCCCAGGCTCCCCCGGATGAGGTTGGGAGCTCCATCGTCCTCCATGGGGACCGTGCACCCCAGAACCCAGCTTTGTCTGTTTGTCTTTCCTTAACCAGTCTGTAAACCTTTATAGTTTGGGGAGCGTCCTGTCCATCTGTGTAAATGTAAATGTTGACCTAGTCGGTATTTATTCTAATTTTTATGTTATTTTATTTTCTCTGAGGGGGTGGGATTGGGATTGTGGGAACTGTACCACTGGTCACAGCCTGGGCAGCTTCAGAGGCTGGGCCCCAGATGGCTGCTAAGAGGAGAAGCCCCTCTGGGGCCACACCAGACAGCCACCTCCGGGAAGCCCAGTCCCAGGCCATTATCTGGCATCAGAGGCTGGCCAGTATTCCTTGTCTCACAGTAGCTTGGACCTGCTGTGGCATGGTGTCCCTCAGCTGTCCAGGCAGTCACTCAGTTGGGAAACCTCTGGCTAGGCCCTGAGGATGTGGGTCAGGGAAAAGATGACTCCCCTCTGCTCAGGATGCTTGCATGGAAGGGCTGGCCACCTTGCCCGAGCCAGCTGGGAGCTGGACGGCAGGACCTACCTCCCTGGAGCAGGGGTCTGGGGCTTCCCACCAAAGCTGCAACAGAATCCTGCTCACGCCGACACCTTCCCTCCATTGGTATGTCCTGCTTTCCAGCTGAACCCAAACTACAAGTGGATTTAAAAAATAAACAATACCAAAAACCAAAAATGCCCTGAATCTGTGTCTTTTGTGTGTTCAACAAAGAAACCCTTTCCCAAAGGCTTTTGTGCCCCACTCAGCTGGTGTTGGTGGGGGCCTCTGAGGAGCCCTTTCTGGGCAGTGAGCTAATGAAAAGAGTCTCTCCACTGTGTGGCCGCCATGGGGAGCAAAGGCAGGCTCTGGGGCCGGGCGACAGTTGTGAAATGGTGCAGGAAGAGCTGGGCACTATGGCCTGTCCAAGGGGCTAGAATTTCTCAGAGAAAAAGGCTTTCATAGTACAGCTTTGGTCTGCTGCATATTTAACCCACCGCTGCTGCCACCTACCCTTACCCAGGAAATGTCCCTGTGCCAAATGAGTAATGACTCATTTGAAGAAATGCTGAGACTTGGGCCTAGCAGCTTCCAAAGGTCGACAGCAAGAGGCTGTCCAGTCCCAGATAATCAAATGGGCCTTTCATCAAAGGATCCCAAAAGGGCTCAGTAATTTGTTTTCCTGTGATGACATGTCCCTCACTGTACACAGTCCCGCATGGCAAGGCAGTGGGGACACTGCCTCCTGGTAACAATCTCACTGGGATTCTTTCTGGCTAGCACTTGCCCTGTCTTTCAGCTACTCAGGTGGCAACCAGAGTATCCACCATTCATCTTCTCCTGGCCTAGCTGCTGAGATTCAGCTGGTGACTGTTGTGTAGTCACATCCTGCCATGACACTGCATGGGGACAGCCCAAAGGATACAAATTGGGTAGAAGGAAATAACATTTTGATTAAGCAATTGAGATATCTGTCAAGCCTTTTTTTTTTTTCAACAAAATGCAAAAAAGTAGCAGAAATTGGAGGTCAAAAAGAAGTGTTTGAAGGTAAGGTAGAGGGTGAAAAGGAGTCCTACCAACAGTTCACTCAAAGGAAGAGACTGTTCTGAATGACTTAGTCCTGCTTCTGAAGGTTCTGAATTGCTCCTATGAAACCCATCATCCAAATAATGTTTCAGTCCTGCATTTCACAATCGTCTCCGCTAATGTGTGTTCTCTGTCATCCTAAGAGAGTTACATTTGTACTGGATCTATAGGATCCATTTGTAATGGTCTATAAGATACATTTGTAAGGTCTATAAGAAGGCAGGGGAAAAAAGGCAGGATCAGGAAATTTTATTTTGGATGAATAAGCTAGGTCACACACACACACACACACACACACACACACACACACCCCACAAGGCTTGTAATGCCCTTTAAAGTACCAAAGCAAAGATGGAAGGCAAGGAATGGAGCAGCAGAAAGGAAAGGAGTGGTCATGCCTTAGTGTTAATGATATCTCCCCAATTCCCTCCATGGCTTCAGAGTCTCAGCTGGTCCAGTGAAGCAGGCAGACAAGTATTTTCTTCGTTTTTGTTTTTGTTTTTGTTTTCTGCAGTGCTGGAAGTGGAAACCTAGGCAAGTGCTCTACCACTGAGCTATACCCCAAGCCCAGACGGTAATTTTGATTCCCATTTTACAGATGAACTGCAAGCCAGGGCCCAGAGTGAGAGCCAAGGGCACTTTCCACTAGCCCAAAAACCCATCTGTTCTTCTGTTCCCACCTCTGGTCAAAACAGAGGAGCAGCCCTCTGCCCGCCGAGACAGCCTGGGCAGGCCACACAGGCTTCCTTCTGTGACATGGGAACCAGGGCTGTGAGGAAATGGCTATCAAGAGAGGTGGGCAGGAGGAGCAATGGATCAGTTTGGTGCTGTTGCAGAGAAGGATCCATCATAATGTGCCATGTGTCCTAGTGGATTTCAGTTTCTTCCAGGCCAGTGGTTCTCACGTGGGTGGATGGTGAGGGAGACCTCAGGGGGACATTTCAAAGGTTGGGGCCAATATCCAGATTTGCACTTGCCCAGAAACTTTATCAAGCTACCTGCTCAAACAAGATCTTTCCTCTAAAAGAAAAATTAGATGTTATAACTACGTTGATATAAAGACGAACATATTAATATTATTTATTAACACATCTTCTGCAGCCTAGAAATTTGTTTTTTGTTGTTTTGTTTTCTGAGACAGGGTCTCACTATGTACTTCAGACTGGCCTTGAACTCACTGTGTAGCCTAGGCTGACCTTGAATTCACGGCAGTCCTCCTACCTCAGTTCCAAGTGCTGGGATTACAGGTATGCCACCTGCTTAAATTCTGATTTTTAAAAAAATATATTTTGGCCATGTGTGGTGGCACACACCTGTAGTCCTAGCACTCAGGAGGCTGAGGCAGGAGGATCGCCATGAGTTTGAGAGCAGCCTGGACTACATAGTAAGTTCAAGGCCAGCCTGAGCTACGTAGTGAGACCTTGTCCCAAAAAACAAAAATTTGTGGGCCCCTAAACGTTTATGTGTTTTAGTCTGTTCAGATTGCTACAACAAAGTGCCATCAACTGGGTGGCTTATAAACAAAAGGAATTTATTTTTCCCAGTTCTGGTGGCTGGAAGTCCAAGACGAGGGTACCAGCACAGTCATACTCTAATGGGAGCCTTCTTCCAGGTTGCAACCTGCTGCCTTCTCACTGTGTTCTCACGTGACAGAAATTGGGTCAGAGTTTCCTGGGCTCCCTTTTATAAGGACACTAACCCCATTTATGAGGGCTCCATCCTCATGGCCTCCAAATGGCTTCACCTCCAAATACTACCGTATCAGGGATTAGAATTCCAGCATATTAACTGGGCAGGGGAGAGAAACATTCAGTCCACAGCAGCACCTAAGTACTATGCCTTATGAGAACAGTTGGCATGGCACTTACCTGAACAAGGAACCCCATGCTCCCCTGCTACCCATCTGGTCTCGGGATGACTCTGCACAGCAGGTAAAAGTGGTCAAAAGGGCAGCTCACACCACAGGCTTCCAAAGAGGCAGCTGGTGGCTCTGGAAGCCAGTGCAGTAGCTGCTTCGGCTCTAGCTCTTCTGCTGGCCTAGAGTGCAAAGCCACCAGCCAAGGAGACTCTGCCACCGAAAGCCAAATCATCACACCGTGCTGGCTCTTCTCATAGCCCTCTGTTCCTTTGAAGGATGGAAACACAATTTCACACTTGGAGAAACTGAGCCCTAAAGAGTCATAGAATGGTGCTTTATGTATTTCACATACATAATCTTATTTGATACAACAGCCCTACCAGGTGACAGATACTTTTAACCTCATTTTAAAGACAAAGAAACAGGCTCTGAGAGGCATAGTGACAAACTCTTACCATGTGACCAGTAGCCACAAAGGCCAGACAGACCTTAAACTACTGCTACTGCTTTCTTAACCCTGAGATAAGCCGTGTGTGTGTGTGTGTGTGTGTGTGTGTGTGTGTATGTGTGTGTGTACCACCCTGAGGATCCAGTATCCAAGGCCACTCTTGTGCCTCGTGACCATGAACTCACCCAGTCCCTGGTATACGGCTTATACCTCCTTCTGCCCAGCCAGGTAGGTATCCAGTGTTCCCTGACTCTAATGAGTCTCTTTCCTTACCTGTCTCCCTATTCACTTCGTCCTGAGCACTCACAGCCCCATTTCCTGTGTTTCACACGAGCATCCAAGCTATGGGAGTAATTAGCCCTGGGTGACAGATGAAGTCTTAGAATATGGCCAGGATCCCACAGCTGACCGAAAGCAGAGATGTCTGCAAGTGTGATCCTCTCGGCCACCATCACCCATCCCATCACCAAGTACCATCACCCATCCCAGCACTTAAAAAACAACCAAAAAAACCATCTCACTTGAGCTGGAGGTCCCAGAACGATAAGCAAGAGTGAGAATCCTGAAGTACCGCAGTGTCATTAGTTTCCCAGGGAGGTGAGAATCCCAGACCCTAACCCACACCCCCAGTCCTGGCCCAATTTCTGGGTGTGTCATGATGCAGACCCCTGCCCATGGCATCCCCTGAGCTGCAGAGACAGCAGCATCTGGCTCAGTCTCTCAGTGGTGCCCATGTAGGTCTTGCTCAACCTCACTTTCCAGCCCCGAGGAGAGAGGACCACCCCTCCCCTGTCTTCCTTCTTAGGTGGAACCCAGTGCCAAGGCTTAATGAGGAAAACTGTGCTAGAACACAAAACAAACTTGCTCTGTTGCATTCCTCCCAAATAACAAAAGTCGTATTAAAGCAGTTGATGGTCCAGTTGCAAAGACACTTGTACACAGACACAGACCCTTACTATTTTGCATGCTCTAAAGCCTTTTGTTGGTGGCTTAGAGGATTGAGCCAACAGTGACCAGTACTACAGTAAACAGTCACACCCGCAGAGCTGCAGCGCCCGCCGAACACACGTGTATCAGCCCCAGTAATCACCAGTGCGCTTGCGGTTAATTGGGAGAATTGTCAACATTTTTCAGTTAAGTGAAAGTTTGTGCCAAGGGCTTTGGGAAGACCATCCTGCTATGCTGAATTGAAAGGCCAACCGTAGAATCCAGTCTCCTCTACAGGTGTTGGGCTCCCCTCCCAGGAGCCAGCTCTGCCCGGGAGAGCCGGTGTCCTGGGGCTCCTCACATCAGGCCCCATACCAGTCAGACACAAGGCAGGCAGCCCAGTCCAGCACCTTCAGCTCCCAGGATGGAGCAGGGCCTCAGGGAAGGGTCCTGGAACCCCTGGTGACCCGGAAGAATGTACAGGGCACAAAGGCACCTCAAAAGTGAACAAAATGGATAAGAGGGAGGCTGAGGGTCCCACACATCATCAGTACCTTTCCCGCTGATGGCACACCAGGCCTTGGCCTCTGCCCAAGGGAAAGAAGAAGGGTGAGGACTGAGGAGCATGAGGAGGGACAGGAAGCGTGAAGCACCCTCCAGGGAGGGAGGGCACCAGGGTCTGTGCTGCTCTTGCTGTCCACCCGTGGAAGTCGCTGGACTCTCCTTCCCTGCTGCCCCCCAAAACAGCTTGCAGGTCCTGCAGGGATTCACAGCCACCCTCCCATTTTAAGGATGAGGACAGGGGCCCTCATGGGGAAGGGACCTGGCCAAGGTCACAGTGGTACCACTGACATTCATGGGCCTGCCCTGTACCCAGCC